AAAAAAAATTTATTGGTTTGCACGCTGAATGTTGAAAAAAGCCTGATTATATTCCAAAGATTTTTGGGCCTAAGTACATGGAATGTACCCTTGAAGCTCTGTGGGAAAGAGAACACACTATTTTTGGCAATGAATACAATAATTTTTATGCCCATCATAATCAAAATCACTACACGTTTTTTAGTTTATAATAAACTTGGATTAGCACTAAGTACTAAAAGTTTCTCAATTTGGCATCTAAATTTTAGTGCTCTGCATGGAAAGTTTCTTAGTTTGTTTCTTTTTTCTGGACCTATAATTGCCTTATTGTTTTGAAGGTGAGCATTTTTTTAAGAATATAAAGTTTGTGCAGAATACGCAGATCAAATTCAAAGTATGCTAATCTTTCCCAAAGAAAATTCAACATAGAAATGGATATTTCACAGTTCTTTTATTTTTCTTGGGCCTAGCACTGAAGTTTCTTCAATTTTTGGGCATCCTAGTACTAGCTTCTTATAAATAAAACAATTCTAGAGTTTAAAATTTGTTGATATTGTTTTCTTTTCCATATTTTCCTCTGCCACAGGAAATTGTTTATTGAAAATTTGTAATTCCTTAATGCTTGTGTTTAGGTAGACTGTATTGTATCCAAAAGGCAATTGCAACTGATAGCAAGAGCCCAGATTGCAAGAAGTTCTTGCTGACTCTCATGGATGCACTTGAAAAGGTAAAAGTTGCTGTGATTGTTGAAAACATGCTAACCTAAGTTTAAAATTTATATTCTATATTCATTAATTTGACTTATTTGTAAACTCATCACTTCACGAACATTAATTGAAAGTAATTTCCTTGTCAAGCATTTTATAAACATTTTAATCTGATAGAGTGTTTTTCTTAAAACTAGTACTAAAAGTAAGGTGTGTTCTTTTCTTCTACATCTATTTAAAGCTATATGAAAATCATTGATTTCATTTGATAATTTCTCCAACCATATTGATATTTATTTTTGAACAACATGTTATTATAGGTTATCTTTATCCTGTAGCCCCAGGTACAGCCCATCATCAGTGAACTTAAGACACCAGTTGTCAAAACCAATCTGTTTTTGCATTTTTGTAGCCTATGTAGGTACTCTATTTTGTGTGGGATTTCTATTTTCGAGTACTGAATAATGGTGCTTTTCGCACACGACCACATAAACTTTGTGTTACATACATGAGGTATATATTTAAAATCCTCTTCATGTGAGAATTGTTGCTTTTTCTAAACTTCTTTTCTGCCACACATTTCTTAACAACTGGCCCATTTCTAACATACTCTGTGACTTTCAACAGGCAAAGAAAGATCTTGCTGGTCAAGGCATGGAAGCTGTTTCAAATGAACTAGTAGGCCAAGCTCACATGGAAGCCAATGCATTGAATTTGTTCACGTGGGCTGACCAAGAAGATAGAAATTCAAATTTCAACAAGTATGTCAGAAACATCTTATATGTTCAATTGAACTATGAGTAACTATGAATGAAATGCAAATTGCCAAAAGCTACATGTCTGTAAAAACTCATCAACAATTGATTTTATAATGGAATGATAATATTTTGCCAAGATTTGAAAAATATATCCTTATTCAGGCCTGGCCGTTTGTATTTTCATAGGTGAGCTGTGAATTGCTCCCCTCATTTGCTGAGGCGAGCTAAATCAGTAACACATAGAATGTACTTTAAAGACAATCGACAGATGACTTAATAAGCCCCTTTAGTATCTGTTGGTTGCCTTAATGTAATAGCCTCAGTCAGGAGTGTGCTGTTTTACTTCTTTCAATTTGCATTTGCTTTAACCGTGACTTAGGCACCCCCTTTACTTGAAGTATTTGAAAGAACAGACTCTCTCCGTTTTATGTAAAGCTGGCACAACACAAAAACAACAATTCTCTTGCAAAACAATCTTTTTGTTGCACAGAATTTGAAAATGGCTTTAAAAAACAAATTTTGAAACAAACTTAATTATACGTCTAGCACTCTTCAGAGAATAAAAGGTCAGAACATAGATGAAAAACTCTACGCTAAAATACCCAGTTTTGGATCGAAATAGGCCATCAGAAAACGCGAGGACATGACTGTTGAGGTTTTCCAATAAGTGCCCCTTTCCTATTGAAATTGTTACCAACAGAGTTCTAAGGTGAAAACGAACTCACTTATGTTAGTATTGGTATATAAGTACAGACAGCAGGTCCCTTCCAGCAAATAGAAACAAAAATTATCCCTAAGAGATACAGGTGGTACTCTGTCTTGCAGATAAAAACGACAACCAAAACATGGAATTCCACTATCCAGCAGCATTTACTTTGAAAAACCAGATTGGGTGAAAAAACTATACGCGAATGTTTCGCTTATTTGGCAAGCCTGATCATCGTTCCATTATGTAGCAGTTTGTGAATCTATCTACTATATATAACATGGCCGACTGCTTTTGAGTAGACATAA